CTTTCTCATTTATGCTTGACGAGTCTGGTTTAAGGTTTGTCAATATTTATTTATTTGTTTAATCCTCATCAGAGGAGTGGGAATATTTTTTTCACTGATTTTAGAAAGTGTGGAAAGGAGTGAAAATGGGTAGAGAAAAGGGGATGGGGTGAGATAGAAACATTGATGTGACAGAGATACATCCACTGGTTGCCTCCCACAGGCACTTCGATTAGGGGCAGGGATTGAACCTGCAACTCAGGTAAATGCCTTTGACTGGGAATCGAACCCATGACCCTTGTTGGGCAGGCTGGTGTTCTAACCACTGAACCATGCTGGCCAAAGCAGGTTTGTCAATTTTATTTATCTTTTTAAAAAACCAGCTTTTTGTTTCATTTATCCTCTGTCTTTCTTTTAAAGATTGTATTTAATTTACTTTTGCTCTAATCTTTATTCTTTCCTTTCTTTTACTCCCTTTGGACTGTGTTTGTTGTACTATTTCTAATTTCTTTATGTGTAAAGTTAGATTGTTTATATGAGATTTTTCTTGTTTATTGAGAGAGGCCTGTAATGTTATAAATTGTCCTGTTAGGACTGCTTTCACTGTTTTCTATAGCTTTTGGGTTGTTGTGTTTTCATTTCATTTGATTGAAGGTATCTCTTTACTTATTCATTGATCTAATTTTTTAACCCATTCATTGTTTGGTAACATGTCATTTAATCTCCATGTCTTTGCGTTTTTTTCCGTGTTTGTGTTTTTTTTTTGGTGTGTGTGTGATTAATTTCTCATTTCATACCATCATGGTCAGAGAAGATGCTTGATATGATTTCAGTCTTCTCAAATGTATTAAGGCTTGTTTTGTGTCCTAACATGTGGTGTTTCCTAGAAAATGTTCCATATATATTGAAAAGAATGTATATTCTGCTGCTTTGGGGTGGAATGTTCTGAAGATATAATTTAAACCCATATATTCCAGTGTGTCATTTAAGATTGCTCTTTCCTTGTTGATTTTCTGTTTAAAAGATCTATACATTGATGCCAATGGGGTATTAAAATCCCCAAATATGACTGTATTGTTGTCAATCCCTCCCTTCATGTCCTACAAAATTTGCTTTATATATTTAGGTGCTCCTATGTGGGTGCATATATGTTTATAAGGGTTATATCTTCTTGTTGAATTACTCCATTTATCATTATGTAGTGTCCTTCTTTTTCTCTTTCTATAGCCTTTATTCTAAATTATGTTTCCTTTGATATAATTATTATTGTCCTCACCTTTTTCCACTTCCATTAGCATGAAAAATTTTTTTGTCATCCCTTTACCTTTAGTCTGCTTGTATCATGCATTCTGAAGTGGGTCTTTTATAGACAGCAATATATGGGTATTGTTTTCTTATACGTTCAGGTGGGCTATGTCTTTTCATTAGAGTATCTAATTCATTTACATTTAAAGTGATTCTGCCTGGCTTATTTCACTTAGCATAATTTTCTCCAGATCCATCCATACTGTCCCAAAGGGTACAAGACCCTTCTTTACAGCTGCATAGCATTCCATGGTGTAAATGTCCCACAGCTTTTTTATCCATTCATCTACTGATGGGCACTTGGACTGTTTCCAGGTCTTAGCTATTGTAAATTGAGTTGCTATGAACATAGGGGTACATATATTCTTTCTGATTAGTGTTTCAGGANCATTGTAAATTGAGTTGCTATGAACATAGGGGTGCATATATTCTTTCTGATTAGTGTTTCAGGATTCTTAGGATACATTCCTAGAAGTGGGATCACTGGGTCAAAAAGCAGCTCTATTTTTAATTTTTTTGAGGAACCTCCATACTGTTTTCCATAGTGGCTGCACCAGTCTGCATTCTCACCAGCAGTTTACTAGGGTTCCCCTTTCTCCACATCCCTGCCAGCACAAGTCGTTTGCCTGTATTGGTGTCTCTCAAGTCTCAATATCTAGTATAGTTTTTGTCTTGTTAATCAGGGCCATAGTTCCAGTTAAATATTACTATATCAAGCTGCATTTATAACAGAAATTGTAAGCTTTGCCTGTCACAGAGTGAATTCCTCATCTTCTCTAAATATCATCTACTCAGCCTAACTCCAGTCACAGTTAATAGCATCAATTGGCCCAATTGTGTGCTCAGAAACCTTGCACTCATTGTATATTTCTCTCCTCCTCTCACCTTAATCAATGAACCAACTAGTTTAATCTCTTCTCCCTCTGAGATTTTCCTTCCTTTCTTGTATACTGCCTCTGCCTTAGCTTTGAACCTTTATTTCTCCCCCTGACTTAGCAACCACTTCAGAACTGGTCTGGCTCTTTCTAGCCCCACCTTCTCAAAATTTTCTTCACAATATGGAAAGATTTGCTTTTCTTTTCTTTTTAATTTTTAAATTTTATTTTTGTTTAAAGTATTACAAATGTCCCTTTTTCTCCCCAGTGACCCATTCCACCCCGTCCCATCTCCTTCCCCAGTCCCTCCCTCCACCATTGTCTGTGTCCTTGGGTTGTGCATATATGCATGTAAATTCTTTGGTTACTCTCTCCCCCTCCACCCAACTGCCCAAGTGCCCATCAGTACATGAGTGGATAAAAAAACTGTGGGACATATACACCATGGAATACTACGCAGCTGTAAAGAAGAAGAATCTCGTACCCTTTGGGACAGTATGGATGGACCTGGAGAAAATTATGCTAAGTGAAATAAGCCAGCCAGAGAAAGACAAACATCACATGATCTCGCTTATACATGGAATCTAAAGAACTTAATAAACTGATAAACAGAATAGATTCAATGACATGGAAGCAAAGATTTACTTTTTTGAAAACACAACTTCAATTATAGCATGCTCCACAGAAGATATGACCACCTGCCTATCTTGTCTCTAGCCTCACTTTCTATAACAACCTCAATGGGCATTCTCCACTCTAATTCAGCTACACTGCTTGCTGAAGGCTCCATTTCCTCTCATGCCTTTAAATTATTATTTCCAATTTTGGCTCTGTTACATGTCTTAGCTTCCCTTCTCTGCTAAGCCTCCTATACAACTGTTGTCCCTTAAGACCTGGTACAATCATCCTCTCTTTTTATAAGATCTACTGGCTTTATTCCCCATTTTCCTATACTCTCCATTGGGCCGAGTAAGACATTTTTCCTTGTGATTTAAAACAATTCTCTATTATGTATCTCAGTTGTGTCTGTGCATGTGCATGTGCACACACACACACACACACACACACACAAGTATTATGTTTGTAAAACCTGGCACTTATGATTTTGTATTGTAATTGTTGGTTCACTGATGTATTCTTCCTACTACACCTCTTTCAAAGAAAAGATCTTATATCATCTTTGTATCCTCCCAGCATATAGTATATGCTTAATTTATAATTGCTAAATTAATAAAGGCATCCCCACAACATCTAGCTTAATCTTATATGGTATATTTGATGAAAAAATACTTCCTTTTTTTTTTCTATTGATTTCAGAGAGAGGAAAGGAGAGGGAGAGAGAGATAGAAACATCAATGATGAGAGAGTCATTGATTGGTTGCCTTCTGCATACCCCTTATTGGGGATCAAACCCAAAACCTGGGCATATGCCCTGACCAGGAATTGAACTGTGACCTCTTGGTTCATAGGTCAATGCTCAACCACTGAGCCATGCAGGCTGGAAGAAAATATTTCTTTTTTGGTTGCAGATTCCAATGTATGGTCTCTATGATGCCATCTTAAATTTCATGCTCACAAATTATGAGGTAATTGAGGGGTTATATTAAGCATAATCTGTGTACATATGTATTCTTATATCATGGGTTATAGCACTTTCTAACCCTATCCCAATGTAACCTAAGTAAGAGCTGGCATTCAATTCTCAGGGTCATAAGTCCCCCTGGAAAGGTCTTGCTTGCTCTATCTGCCTGCCTTTGTGTTTCTGTCTCATAGGTTTCTTCACCATTTTTTTGATAGTGACAGAAAAAGAAACTATAGAGGAAAAGGACAACTTTTGTTTTATACTTGTGTCAAATGCTTGATGTAGACTCACTCCTGCCTCAGCTCAAGAACTACAGAGCTGAGACTATTTGAAGAGAGCTGGCATGACAACAGCAACATGTCTTAGTAGAGGAGGGTTATCTGATGCTATAAAACAAAAATACAGGTATTTGGCCTGTAAGTCCAGTAGGCCCAGGTATTGCCTCAGAAACTTTCATCAGTAGCAGAGATTGCAAAACATCATAAATGAAGAATGTTTTAACAACCATATTAGCAATTTCCAGGACACATTTCCTTATTGATGGCAGGAACTCCTGCAGTGAGAGCAGGAGTAATTTTTAAATCAGGTGTTGTGGTGACACAGCAAAAAAATGCATGCATACTATATTTCCCATTCATATTTTTGGAGGCTTCTAATACCTGAAGTATCTCACCTACAGAACAGTATGGAATTGACTAATACTTACCTTCTTACACATATCAGTAAGTGGTAATACATGACTCAACAGGAGAAAACCAAAGAGATAACTGGATTTTTGAGTCAGAAAGATACTTAGAGATCATGTGACCCAACAGCTTTATTTAACAATACAATAAGATACAGAAGCTGATGTCCACAGTGCTAAAGCCATTGGTCCAAAACTGTATAAGTGTCAAAGAATTTCAGACCCATGTATATCTCCAAGGAGCCTCTACTGGGGACTCATAATTTTAGTAGAATTATCAACATTCAGGACCTATCTATACTCACCTTAGTGTCACCTCAGATGGCAATTACTGTTTCTTACATCAGTTTACAATTGACAATAAATTTGCAGTTTCTTTAGTAATTTATTTTGTTTTCTGGGTGAAGACTAATAGAGAGTCTTCTTTCTAATGCTTTGTTATTCACTCTCATCACCCCTCATTCTATATGGCCCACTGGTCTAAACACAATGGCCCTTGAGAAATGCTATTGCTCTCAGACTAAAAGAACACTAGAACTTTCAAACATAAGAAAGCAAAAATTCTAGATCTTACCATTCTAGATGGTTTTCCACAAATGCAGACATGGGACTGATTTGCACGGTGTAAGTATCATTTGCAGAATATTCAAAGAGTCCATAGTAAGGGTTAAAGAGCTCCTGAGACAAAAGGAAGAAGAACTCTCTCGAAGGACCACTGTAATCCAGGCTGCAAAGGAAACAGAGGTCTGGGAATCTATTATGAACAGGAGGTAGGGGACCTACCACTATCTGGGTGCTATTGTGCTCTTTCAGAGTCAGTACTGGGGAATGTCAAGAGCAACCTTGGCTCTTTAGAGTGGATCCCAATGGAAGTATTAATTTGCTATAGAAAATGAGGAGTGGTTATTGGCTTGGGGAAGTTTTTATTCAGATTTCCATGAGTGAACACTTATGGCAATGTTCCTTAATTTTTTTTATCATATAATACCTGTTGGATAAAACACAAAGCTGTACCATTAAAAACAAGGACTTAGTTGAAAAAGCACAAGAGAATTTCCTGTGACAGTGTGTGTATGTGAGCATATGTGCATATGTGTGAATTAAAAAGCTTTCCAAGTTCATTCTGATATGCCCTTCTATGGTTGAGATGATTTTCCATGAAATCACTCAAATTATAAAACAAATTTGGTATGCAGTTGTATATGCACACTTTAGGAGGAAGAGTTTTTTGATCAGATACTCAGAAGTGTACAGCGCCTGAAAAAGTAAAGATCCAGTAGTTTAGAGCAGTATTTTTGGTTTATACTTTGAACATGTACCTTAGACCCTAGGACTTGGCAATAATCTTAGGCTTTTAAAGAACATGAAATCTAAAGCTTGGTAATACCTGGAGAAAGAGCTCCCAAAAAGACACAATTAAAATCACCTTGGGGCAAAGGCTTAGAGCTACTCTGCTTCTTTTTGAGAAAAATCACCCAAGATCCAAGGGATTTGGTCCACCACACTGAGATGTTTGCATAAAATTACTGGTGCCTCACCCTTCTTCTCCAACAAAGGTGATGTAGAGCTTGTTTCGCTGGAGCTCCTTCCGGGAATAGGCCATAACCTGATTGAAAGTTCCTTCCAACAAGTGGTCCCGACGAATGATGAGCCTAGGAAGAAATAGAAATCACATGGGTGTTGAGCAGTGGCTTGAAGCTCTGCTGTTGGAGAATGTTCTAGGTGAGTCATGAGTGCACAGATCTTACTTCCTAGACTCTCCATGAATGTTCAGATTGCATTAGTTAAGCAACGGCCTTTTTAAAAACATTGACAGCACAAGGACAATGTGTATGCTTTTATAATTAGATACATTCCATCCTATTGGACTGCTTTTTGGATTTTTTTAATCAATTGCAAAAAGAATCTCTTCATTTGAATTCCTGAATTGAGTTTGGCTTTTCAGGAAAAAATAATAAACCCAGCAGGAGAAAAAAACCAAAACTTTTTAGACTCTTATCGAAAAGTTACAATGAGTCCATGAATTAGACTAATGAATTAAATATGTCCCCCCCCAAAAAAAGTTTTTGTTATTTAGATCTAGATTTGTTGTTTCATGAAAAGGTCTATCATTGAATTTATTATTTATTTATTTATTTATTTATTTATTTATTTATTTATTTATTTTTATTTATTTATTACTTTTTATTCAAAATGTTACAGATGACCATTTTCCTCCTCATTGACCAATTCCACCCCACCTCACTCCTATCCTCAGTCCCTCACCACACCATTGTATGTGTCCTTGGGTTATGTATATATGCACATAAATTCTTTCGTTTATCTCCCCTCCCCTACTCCCCCTTTCCCTTGGAGATTCATCTGTCTGATCCATGCTTCCATGTCAGTGAATCTATTCTGTTCATCAGTTTATTAAGTTCTTTAGATTCCACATATAAGGGAGATCATATGTTGTCTTTCTCCACCAGGCTTATTTTGCTTAGCATAATATTCTCCAGGTCCATCCATACTGTCCCAGAGGGTACAAGATCCTTCTTCTTTACAGCTGCATAGTATTCCATGGTGTAAATGTCCCACAGCTTTTCTATCCACTCATTTACTGATGGGCACTTGGGCTGTTTCCAGATCTTAACTATTATAAATTGAGTTGTTATGAACATAGGGGTGCATATATTCTTTCTGATTAGTGTTCAGGATTCTTAGGATATATTCCTACAAGTGGGATCACTAGGTCAAAAGGCAGTTTCAGTTTTAATTTTTTGAGAAACCTCCACACTGTTTTCCATAGTGGCTGCATCAGTCTGCATTCCCACCAGCAGTGTACTAAGGTTTCCATTTCTCCACATCCTCCCAAGCACTTGTTGTTTGTTGATTTGTTGATGGTAACCATTCTGACAGGTGTGAGGTGATAACTTATAATCATTTTAATTCACATCTAGATGATGATTAGTGATGTTGAGCATTTTTTCATGTCTCTTGGCCATCTGTATGTCCTCTTTGGAGAAGTGTCTATTCAAGTCTTTCCCATTTTTTAATTGGACTGTTTGTCTTCCTCTTGCTGAATTGTATGACTTCTTAGTAGACTTTGGAAATTAACCCCTAATCAGATACATCCTTGGAAAATATGTTCTCCCATATGTTAGGGTTCCTTTGTATTTTGAGGCTGATTTCTGTTGCTGTGCAGATTTTTTTTTTTTTTAATTTGCAAAGATTTTATTTTATTTTAATTATTTATTTTACTTTCTTTTTAAAAATTTTATTTTTGTTTAAAATATTACAGATGTCCCCTTTTCTCCCCAATGCCCCATTCCACCCCGTTTCATCCCTCTCCCCAGTCCCTCTTTCTACCATTGTTGGTGTCCTAAGGTTGTGCATATGTGCATACTAGGATTCCCATTTCTCCACATCCTTGCCAGCACAAGTCGTTTGTTGATTTGTTGATGGTAGCCGTTTTTACAGGTGTGCAGTGATACCTCATTGTGGTTTTAGCGATGTTGAGCATTTTCTCATATGTCTCTTGGCCATCTGTATGTCCTCTGTGGAGAAGTGTCTATTCAGGTCTTTTGCCCATTTCTTAATTAGGTTGTTTGTCTTCCTCTTGCTGAGTAGTATGAGTTCTTTGTTCACTTTGGAAATTATCAGATACATCCTTGGCAAATATGTTTTCCCAGACTGTGGGGTTCCTTTGTGTTTTGAGGTTTTTTTCTTTTGCTGTGCAGAAGCTTTTTAGTTTGATGTAGTCTCATATGTTTATTTTTTCTTTTGTTTCTCTTGTCCTAGGAGATATATCAGTGAAAATTCCACTACTTGGAATGTCTGTGACTTTACTGCCTATGTTTTCTTCCAGGATTTTTATGGTTTCATGACTTACATTTAACTCTTTTATCCATTTTGAGTTTATTTTTGTGTATGGTGAAAATTGGTGGTCTAGTTTCATTTTTTACATGTATCCAATTTTCCCAGCACCACTAATTGAAGAGACTGTCTTTACTCCATTGTATGCTCTTGCCTCCTTTGTCACTTGTCAGATATTAACTGACCAGAATGGCGTGGGTGTATTTCTGGGGTATCTCTTCTGTTCCATTGATCTATAAGCCTGTTGTTGTACCAATACCAGGTGGTTTTGATTACAATGGTTTTGTAGTATAGTTTGATGTCTGGCAAAGTGATCTCTCCCACTCTGTTCTTTTTTCTCAAGATGGCTGCAGCTCTTCGGGGTCTTTTTTGGTTCCATGTAAATTTTTGAAATGTTTGTCCTAGATCTGTGAAATATGCTGTTGGCATTTTAATAAAAATTGCATTGAATTTATAAATTGTTTAGGGTAGTATGGACATTTCAATGATATTAATTCTTCCAATCCATGAACATGATATATTCTTCCACTTGTTTATATCTTCTTCTATTTCTTTTTTCTGTCCTGTAGATTTCCAAGTACAGGTCTTTTACATCTTTGGTTAAGTTTATTTCCAGGTATCTTATTTTTTCAGTTACAATGGTAAATGGTATTGTTTTTGTAGTTTCTCTTTCTGAGAGTTCATTGTTTTTCTATAAAAATGCTACCGATTTCCGGATGTTTTTTTGTATCCAGCTACCTTGTGAAATTCATTTATCAAATCTAATAGTACTTGGTGGAGTCTTCAGGGTTTTCTATGTAGAATGTCATGTCATTTGCAAATAATGACAGTTTTACTTCCTCCTTTACAATTTGGATACTTTTTATGTTTTCTTCCTGTCTGATGGCTGTTGTACGGACTTCAAATACTATGTTGAATTAGAGTGGTGAAAGTGGACATCCCTGTCTTGTTCTTGTTTTTAAAGGAAATGGTTTTAGTTTTTGCCCATAGAGTATGATGTTGGCTGTAGGTTTGTCATATATGTCCTTCATTATATTGAGGTGTGTTCCCGTTATTCTCACTTTGTTGAGGCTTTTTATCAAAAATGGGAACTCACTTTTTCAAATGCTTTTTCTGCATCTATTGGTATGATCTTATGATTTTTGTACTTCACTTTGTTTATGTGACATATCACATTTATTGATTTGCAGATATTATACCAGCCTTGCAGCCCTTCAATAAATCCCAATTGGTCATGGTTTATGATCTTTTTAATGTATTGCTGGATCTGACTTGCTAGTATTTTAGTGAGGATTTTAGCATCTATATTCATCAGGAATACTGGCCAGTAATTTTCTTTCTTTGTAGTGTCTTTATCTGGTTTTGAGATTTGAAGGATGCTTTCCTCATCAAAAAAGTTTGGAAGGTTTCCCTCCTCTTGAATTTTCTGGAATAGTTTGAGAAGATTAAGTGCTAATTTTTCTTTGACTCTTTGGAAAAACTCACCTGTAAGTCCATCTGGTTAAGGACTTTTGTTTGCTGGGAGTTTTTTGATTACTGCTTCAATTTCATTGGTTGTTATTGGCCTATTCAGGTTTTCTTTCTCTCCTTGATTAATTTTGGGAAGACTGTATGCTTCTTGGAATTTGATCATTTCACCCATGTTGTCCAGTTTGTTGGCAAATAGTTGCTCATAGTATTTTCTTACAATCCTTTGTATTTCTGCTGGGTCAGTTGTTATATCGCCTTTTTCATTTCTGATTTTATTTATTTGGGTCTTCTCTCTTTGTTTCTCAAGTGAATCTGGATAAATGTTCATCAATCTTATTTATCTTTTCAAAGAACCAGCTCTTGGTTTCATTGAATTTTTGTATATTTTTTAGTCTCTGTGATATTAATTTTTTCCCTGATCTTTATTATTTCTTTCCTTCTATTTCTTCAGGGCTTTTATTGCTGTTCTTGTTCTACTTTTTTAAAAATAATTTTATTTATTTATTTATTTATTTATTTATTTATTTATTTTTAAAATATATCTTTATTGATTTCAGAGAGAGGAAGGGAGAGGGAGAGAAAGAGAGATATAAACATCAATGATGAGAGAGTCATTGATTGGCTGCAGCCCACAACCCAGGTATGTGCCCTGACCCGGAATTGAACCCCGATCGCCTGGATCCTAGGTTGATACTCAATCACTGAGCCACGCCCGACTGGGCTTGTTCTACTCTTTTTAGTTGTTGTGTTAGATTGTTTAGTAGAACTTTTTCTTGTTTCTTGAGGTATGCTTGTAATGTTAGGAACTTTCCTCTCAGGACTGCTTTTGCTGTGTTCCATAGATTTTGAGTTGTCTGTTCATTTTCTTTTTTTCCCAGTAAGAGTTTGATTTCTTCCTTGAGCTCATTGGTAACCTATTCACTGTTCAATAACATGCTATTTAGCCTTCATATGTTTGAATATTTTTGAGTTTTTTTTATAGTGGTTAATTTCTAGTTTCATGACATTGGGATCTGAAAAGATGCTTGATATGATTTCAAATTTTATCAACTTGTAGAGACTTGCCTTGTGCCCTATCACATGGTTTATTTTTGAGAATATTCCATGTGCACTTGAGAATAATGTGTATTGTGCATCTTTGGGATGAACTATTCTGTAAATGTCAATTAAATCCATTAGGTCTAGTGAATCATTTAAGGTCTTTGTTTCCCTGTTGATTTTTGTCTTGATGATTTGTGCAATGCTGGCAGTGAGGTGCTAAAGTTCCTCACACTATGATTGTGTTGCCATCAATCTCCTCCTTAAAGTCCACCAAGAAATTTTTATATATTTAAGTGCTCCTATATTAGATGCATATATATTGATAAGGGTTATATCCTCTTGTTAGATTTATCCCTTTAGAATTATGTAGTGACCATTTTGCTTTTTGTTATGGTCTTTATTTTAAAGTTTATTTCATCAGAAATAAATATTTCTATTCCAGCTTTTTTGTTGTTTGTTTGTTTCCATTTGCATGGAGTATTTTACTTTATCCCATCACTTTTAACCTGTGTGAATCTTTTGCTGTCGGGTGGGTCTCTTGTAGACAGCATATATTTAGGTTCTGTTTTCTTATCCATTCAGCTACCCTATGTCTTTTGATTGGATCATTTATTCCATTTATATTTAAGGTTACTATTAATATATACTTATTTCATGACATTTTCCACTTTATGTTGATGTACCTTTTTCTCAAAATTTTTCTTTTTCTTAGAGCAGTCCTTTTAGCGTTTCTTGCAATGCTGGTGCGATGATACTGAACACCTTTAGCTTTCTTTTGTCTGGGAAATTCTTTATTTCACCTTCAGTTTTAAATGATAACCATTCTGGATAGAGTTCTTGGTTGCATGTTCATGCTTTTCATTATTTTGAGAACTTCATGCCACTTCCTTTGGCCTGAAGTGTTTCTGTTAAGAAATCTGCTGCCAGCCTTATGGGGGTTCCTTGTAGGTCACTGCTTATCTCTCTCTTTCAGCCCATAATATTCTCTCTTTGTTCTTGATATGTGTCTTGCAGTGAGTCTCTGTGAGTCCCTCTTGTTTCGAACCCTCTGTGCTTCCTGAGCTTGTGTGGCTTTCTCCCTCGCCAGTGTAGGGAAGTTTTCTGTCTTTATTTCCTCCACCAAGTTCTGTATCACTTTTTCTCTTGCTACCCCATATTATGTGAATGTTGTTTCCTTTTATGTTGTGCCAAAGTTCCCTTTGACTGTCCTCATGCTTTTTAAGTGCTTTTTATTTTTGCTGCACTGATAGTGTTTTTTTTTTCTACTTTATCTTCTAAGTCACTTATTCTATCTTTTACTTCATTGAGCCTGCTTTTAATTCCTTCCAGTGTGTTCTTGATATCAGAGAGAGTTTTATTCATTTCTCCTTGGTTTTTATTTATGATATTTAGCTATCTTTTCATGTTTTCACTAAGTTCCTGGACCTTTCCATTAAGTGTCTTGTTGTTCTTATTAATTTCCTTGAGCATCTTTATAACTATTACTCTGAACTCTATTTTTGATAACTTGCTTAACTTTATCTCATCAAGTGCTTTTTATTGTGATTTTCCATTTTCTTTAGTTTATGGGTTGTTTCTTTGTCTCTTCCCATTTTGGTGGCTCTTACTGTCTGTCTCTGTATATTAGACATATTTGCTGTCTCCTAGTTTTGAGGGGTGGAATTTTGTAGTGTGAGTCCATTGGAGCCCAGAGGTGTGTTTTCCATATAATTCTCAGCTATTTGATCTGGGTTGTGTCTCTTTTTTTGGGTGTCTCTTTTGTGGGTTCTTTGGGCTCTCTTGTTGTGATTGTGTCTTGATTGTTGTTGACCTGTTCTTGAAAAGACTCTCCTCTGAGTTTGAATAACTGTGTGTCTCAGTCCCAACCACATCATGTGAGCTGTTGTACAGGTGTTGGAAAGCCAAGACAATACACAACCAAACTGCCAGAAAACAAGCAGTATTTTACTGAATATCCTGACAATCACAATGGAAATATCCCAAGTGAAAGTAGAATTGGGAGAGTGAAGAACAGAAGTGCTAAAGAAAGATAGAGACAATAAATAGAGGGAGAGAGAAAGAAAGAGAAAAGAATATTATTGCTTATAGTAATGAAAAATTTAAAAAAATTATAAAATAAAATGAAAAGTAAAAAATAGAGAAGCTTCTGGGAGATAAAAGGGGAAGGGAAAGGATTCTGAAAGAAAGGCAAATAAAAAATTAAGGGTAGAGCATAAGAATAGAAAAATACTTGAAAAATAAAAAATAAAAATACAATACAGAGACAAACAGAAACAAAACAAACAAACCAAAAGACAGGAAGACGGAGAATAAAAGAAAAAATACAAAAAAGAAAGTAACATGTTATGGCAATGGAACAAGAAGAGAGAGAGAGGGAGAGAGATAAAGCAAGGGCAGGGAAGGTGTTCAATAAGGGGTATAAGGAAAAAAATGGAGAAAAGCAGTAAACTTATTGATTATAATGATAATGTCCCAGCAATTAAGCAGAGAATATTAATAAAATATTGATAATAGAACAAAAAACAAAACAAAGTAAAAGAAAAAAAACAACAAACCAACCAAAGCTAAACAAGAATTTTAAGAAATTAATTTAAAAATTAAAAATAATAAAAAAATTAAAATAATTTTTTTCTTTTTTCTAAAAAAAAAAAGTCAATCAGGTGAGTTTCTTTTGGGCAGCTTATGTTGTCTGAGGCTCACTCTTTGTATCGTCATTTCAGTTCTCCTGGGTGGTACTTGTGTATTAGCTAATGTCAGGAGCTGTCTTGGTTTGGCTCTGGTGTCCTCAGTTGGCTGATATGAGCCTCTATGTGGACTATCTCCACTTGTCAGCTATTTTGCCTCCCCCTTGTGGTTGCCTGGTCTTACTCCAGTGTCTTCTGAAGAACCTTTAGGGTACAGGCTGGCTAGTGTAGCTCAGGATATTGCTCTCCTTATTTAGAGGTTTCACTGTTAGGCACTCACTGTGGAGAAATTAGTCTCTGCNTCAGGAACTCACTGTGTGGAAGTTAGTGTCTGCTTCAAAGCCAACTCCTACGTCTCTATACTATCTTCTAATTCTACTTCCCCATAAACTGGCCTGCTGCAGTTTCAGAATGACTTCAGTCTGTTGCTTTTTCTATATGGGAAGTTTTAGTAGCCTGGGCTCAGTGGGCTTGATTTCAGTGGGAGTGGTGTTCCTAGCCTGCAGGAGAGGTAGGTGTGCTCCATCCCTCCATTTTCAGATCTGGTTGGCTGATCTCACAGGGTGCTCATTTCAAACTCCCTACACAGCAATCACAAACCCCAGCTTTCGCTGGCCTGTCTCCCCAATGGAAGCCAAGAAGGTGGATACCTGTTCAGCAATCAAAAACTCAAAAACACACAAAACAACACACAAAGAGAGAATCTGCCCTGCCAAGTCCTATTGCCCCCACACCTTGGTACCAAGCAGGGTGTGTCACAGAGTCAACCCCATGCAGCTCCCCTGCATAGCTGGTCTCAGTAAAGCTGAGGCAGCTTTTTTGGCACTGTCCCAGCTCCCCTCAGAATGTGTCAAAAATTTCAGGTTCTCCACACTGGCAGCGTTGGTGGCTGGAGCCTCAACCTTCCCCACTGGAAGCTCTGTTGGCTTGAGTCCTGATTCATCCTTCTGGTGGCTCTGGTCCTTCTCTGGCAGCAGGAGTGTTGTCTTCCCCTTCCCCATGCCACACAGATCAAATGCTTTCTGGGGTTCTACACAATGCCTTACAGGAAGGCAGAGGGTTCTTATATGTAGCTGCTCAGTGCTTTCCTGTGCCCCTTTCTATTCAGGAGCCACACACTGTGGGACAGCTTTTCTTATGGTTGGCACTTAGTGTGAAAGATGACTATGGGTTCACCATTACAAGCTTTGTTTTACTGGGAAGGCACGGTCCCCTTTTCACAAGCACACTGTTCCCCTGGCTCCCTCTGCCTGCCCTACACAGGTTCTCCTTCCCATATCCTCTGCTCTGGGTTTGAGATCCTAGCTTTTGGATGCCAGTCCACACTCCCAAGGGGAGGGAGCTTTGCAGCCTCCAGCCTTAGGGCCTCAGGGCCCAGCACAGGCTTCAGGGGGGACTCCTCCTTTATACACTCTCCCCTCTTACCAGACTCTATGATGTTTCTTCAGTGCTCCCTACTCAAAAAATGTCCACTCTGGTTTACTTCTCTGTTTTTTTCCAAGCTGGTTATGCAGTAATAAATTGAGTCTGAGGCTGGAAGCATGAGTGTTCTGCTTCTTTTCATAGCAAAGCCATCTTCTTGGAACCTCATTGACTTTCTATGAAATCTCATGTGTTTTCTTTCAGACCATTCTCTTTCCTTCCCTTTCTGCCTCCTCTTCAATTTCTTAACGTTTTTCTTTTTTCTTCTCAACTTCATAACTTTTTTTCTTCCTCTTTACTATGAGCATACCTGTTACCACACCATGGTATCCAATCTCCAAAATAATATTACAAAGGTATAGAGGAGAAAAAGATTTAAAAAGCAATCATCTGAGTTCAGTGCCAAGTACTGGAGCACTCACTTAATTTTCCCTGGACCCTGACCAAATCCTTTGGCTTCCAGTTTTCGGTAGAAATTACGGAGCTTGGCCTCAAAGTCTCTCCGGTAGGGTGAAGGGGCTCTTGCACTGGCTCTCTGTAAACCTGCAGAGAGAAGTACATGAGCTGAAGGTCAACAGTTTATCAAAGAACAAATACACAGAACCATGGTAGATGAAGGACTGACCAGAAGCACATTCCTGTGTCTTCATATTTTTTCTCCAAGAAGTTTCCTTTAATTTCAATGACTCCTTCAGTTATTTTTATAATAAATAGAAATAATATAATAAAGAAAACAATTCTGATGACCATAAATATTTTTTTCCACTACACTTCAAGTCATATTTCTCTTAAAAAATATTTTGAGCATACTTCTTGGCTCAGTTGCACTTAAATAATCTAAAACAACATAAACTAAACTAGACTAAACTTTTCTTGTAAGTCACTGTATTACAAGAAGTGATTATAACTCTAATTAGGCAACTGTAATATATATGTATGTTGTATTTCTCTAAGTATATTGATATTGATGCTAAAATAAACATACCTGTCCACTAAGGATCAAAGTATTTAAGAGTTTATTTTATATTACCTTGTTCTTGTTAAGCAAAATTAATAATAATTCCTTGATTATATATAGAGGAGAGTTTTTCTTTCACCTAGAGTGCTTTGTAAATGCTTTATCTTTGTACACCTTTCAATGAAAAAATTGAATAGAAAAAGTAACATTCTTCTCCAAGTTTTATAATGGCTAGAATCATTGTTTGCCCCTTCAATAACTATTTATTAATTACTATATTTCAGATATTATATTAATAATCTAGAGAAGACTAACACCAAAAAATCATAGAAATTAGAATGTAATTACAAGTTGAGATGATTCCTATCGATGAATGAAAAGAATTCAGTTCCCTGAGATCTCAGAACACTATGGCCAGGTACAGGAAGTCTTCCCTGGAGAAGATCTAAAGAATAATCAAGCATGAATGAGACAGTGTAAGTCAGGAAAGGCTTCCATTTAACTAGAAGAAGGGATAAGTTGGGAGAAAAAGAACAATTTAGGTCTAGTATCAGTATATGCAAAGATACTGTGGCAGAATGAAAAATGGTACTCCAGTTTACCTGGAGCACAGGTGCAAACACAAGAATGATGTAAAACAAAGCTTGAGACGTTGACAAGAGATAGATCAAGTCGAATAAGTTATACTGTGATAAGCAGTTTTGTTTAATGCTAAGCACAATAGGAAACCATTGCATGGGGTTGACATGTGACTTGAGTTATAAAAACCATCAATCTCTCTATTGAAGTAGAGAGAAAAATTGAAAAGGATTAAAGTGGATTTAGACAGCCAAATTGGACTAGGAATATATAAGTGGAGAAGAGAAGTGGGTAGACTGAAGAAGAGATTAAGTCAGTGAATTATATAGGTAGTGAGGGAAAGGTGGGTTTAAGATTTTATCACTGATATGAGTCACAGCAAAAGCAGTCCTAAGAAGGAAGTTCATAGCATTACAGGCCCACATCAAGAAAGAAGAAAAATTTCTAATAAACTATCTAACACTACAATTTAAAGAATTAGAAAGAGAACAACAAGAAAAGGCCAGAGTAAGTATTTTCTGCTCAGAGCTGAAATAAATGACATAGAGACTTAAAAGAAAATACAAAAGATCAGCGGAACCAAGAGTTGGTTCTTTGAGAAGATAAACAAGATTTATAAACCTTTAGCCAGAATAATCAAGAAACAAAGGGAGAAGACTCCAAAAAATTAAAGATGAAAGAGGTGAAGTAACAACTTACACCACAGAAATACAAATGATTGTAAGAAAATACTATGAGCAACTATATGCCAACAAGCAGAACAACCTGGGAAAAATGGACAAATTCCTAGAAAAATACAATCTTTCAAAACTGAATCAGGAAGAATCAGAAAACCTGAGTAGGCCAATAACAACTAATGAAATTGAAGCAGTAATAAAAAAACAAAAAAACTCCCAGCAAACAAAAGCACTGGTTCCGACAGCTTTACAGGGGAGTTTTACCAAACATTTAAAGAAGAACTGGACTGTGAAGATGATGGCATTCTGACAAAAAGCAGAGGGCCCTAGCTCCCAGCCCAGACCCAATTTATCATGAAAATACTGCATAACCAGCTTGGTAAAACAAGAGAAATATACCTGAGTGGGCATATTTCGAGGAGGTAGCACTGAAAAAAAATCATAGAGTATGGGAAGAGAGGGGTGTTAAAAGGGGGAGTCTCCCCCAAAGTCAGTGTTGGGCTGCAAGGTTTGAGGGTTAGAGGCTGCGAATTGTGTCTGCTGTGTGGAGAGTTTGAAATGAGCACCCTGTGAGATCAGCCAACCAGATCTGGGAAAGGAGGGGCAGGGAACACCTGCCTCTCCTGCAGGCTAAGAACACCAGTCTCAATAAGAAAGGGAATAGTTCAGCTCACTGAAGCTCCAAATATCACCCCCAGGGCACAGTCCTGAGGGAGAAGGGAGAACAGCTCACAGGACTATAATATAAGAATAAAACTCTAAGGGACTGTTGGTTGGGAGCTAAAGGAAAAGCTTAAAGCCACTTCTGGAGGCTGGGCAGTCAAAGGGCTCACTGGAGTATATTTTTTTAATTGGACCCTCTCAGCCCAAGCTGCTTAAACTGCCCATACAGAAAAGGAAACAGACTGAAGTCAATCTGAAAATGCAGCAGACCAGTTTATAGGGAAGTAGAATTAGAGGATAGTGTAGAAACTTAGGAGTTGGCTTTGAAGCAGAGACTAATTTCTCCACAGTGAGTGCCTAACAGTGAAACCTCTAAATAAGGAGAGCAATATCCTGAGCTACACTAGCCAGCCTGCACCCTAAAGACTCTTCAGAAGACTCTGGAGAAAGACCAGACAACCACAAGGGGGAAGCAAAATAACTGACAAGTGGAGGTGGCCCACATAGAGCCTCAGATCAGCTAACTACCTAAGGACATCAGAGCCAAACCTAGACAGCTCCAGACATTGGCTGATACACGTGTACCTCTTAGGAGACTGGAAATTAGTATAGAAAATAGTGAGCCTCAGACATCATAAGCTGCCCAGATGAAATTCACTTGAGTTTATTGTTTTTTTTAGAAAAAAAAGAGAATTTTTTTTTATTTAAAAAATTTTTTTCTTCATGTTTCTCTCTCTTTTTTAATTGTTCAAAATATTACAGATGTCTCTTTTTATGCCCATTGACCCATTCCACCCCCCTCCCAAGGCCTTCACCACAGCATTGTCTGTGTCCTTGGGTTGGAGGCTGGCAGGCAAATAATTTTTTAAATTTGTAATTAATTTTTAAATAATTTGTTTTTCTTAGTTTTTTTCTTTTTCTTTTTTTTAAATATACCTTTATTGACTTCAGGGAGAGGAAAGGAGAGGGAGAGAGAGATAGAAACATCAATGATGAGAGAGTCATTGATCAGCTGCAGCCCACAACCCTGGCATGTGCCCTGACCGGGAATCGAACCCTGATGGCCTGGATCCTAGGCCGACTCTCAACCGCTGAGCCACACCCGGCTGGACAGTTTTGTTTTTTTTGTTCTGTTATCAAGATGTTCTTGATATTCTATGCTTAATTACTGGTATATTATCAATATAAACAATAAGTTTACTGCTTTCTCTATTGTTTCCCCCATATCTCTCATTGGATTCCTTCCTTACCCTTGCCTTTTCTCTCTCTCTCTTCTTGTTCTTTTGGCTTAATTTCTTTTTTCTTTTCTTTTCTTTTCTTTCTTCTTTTCTTTTCTTTTCTTTTCTTTTCTTTTCTTTTCTTTTCTTTTCTTTTCTTTTCTTTTTTTCTTTTCTTCTTTTCTTTCTTTTCTTTTCTTTTTTCTTTTTTCTTCTCTTTTCTTTTCTTCTCTCTTCTTTTCTTTTCCTTTTTTCCCCTTTTATTCTTTGTCTTCCTGTCTTTTGGTTTATTTGTTTATTTCTGTGTGTCTCTTAATTTTATATTTATTTTTCTTTTAAAAATATTTTCCTTTTCCTATGCTCTACCCTTAATTTTTAACTCACCCTTCTTTCAGAATCTTTTCCCTGCCCCTTTTATCTCCCAAAAGCTTCTCTATTTTTTACTTTTAATTTTATTATTTTTAAATTTTTCTTTACTATTAGCAATAACATCATTTTCTCTCTTCCTTTTTGTATTTATTTATTTATTTATTTATTTATTTATTTATTTATTATTATTTTTTTGTTTTAACATTTGTGTTCTCCATTCACTCTTCCAATTCTATTTTCTCTTGGTTTGTTTTCACGTGATTGTCAGGATATTTTGTAAGATACTGCTTGTTTCCCAGGCATTTGCTTGTGTTTTGTTTTGCCTTGCCTGCAGCTATACAACAGCTCACATGATGTGACTGGAGCTCAGCCACATTGTCAACTTGAGAGGAGAGTCCTCCCATGAATGGGTCAACAACAATCTAGACCCAATCACCACAAGAGAGCCTAAAGAACCCACAAAAAAGTATCACCCAGAAAGAGAACACACCTAGAGCAAATAGCTCAGAAGTATAAGGAAAACATACTTCTTGGCCCCACTAGACGTGAACTATTAAGTCTCCCACAAGACTGGGAGACAGCAAATATATCTAATATACAGATACAAACACTAAAAGCCACTAAAATGGGGAGACAGAGAAACAACCCCTAAATTAAAGAAAAGAAAAAATCACCATAAAAAGACCTCGATGAGATGTAGTTAAGCAAGTTATCAGAAATAGAGCTCAGAGTAATGGTTATAAAGATGGACAAGCAAATAAGTGAGCACAAAACACTTAAAAGAAAGGTAGAGAAACTTAGTGAAAACAGAAAAGGAGCTAAATACCAGAAATAAAAACCAAGCAGAAATGAATAATACTCTGATATCAAGAATACACTGGAAGGCATTAAAAGCAGGCTCAATGAAACAGAGGATAGAATAAGTGACTTAGAAAAAAAGGTAGGAAAAAACCACTCAATCAGAGCAACAAAAAGAAAAAACTTAAAAAGCATGGGAGAGTTTAAGGGAGCTTTGGGACAACATGAAGGGAAACAACATTTGAATTACAGGGGTAGCAGAAGGGGAGAAAAGTGAGCAAA